TTAACACGTGTAAGTGTTGTACGCGTAAGTGGCCTTATGAGTAGTATAATCAATCTATGGTCGTGTTGAAGACTGCAACAAAGGACGATTAAAATTTAATCCGATTAAAAAGAAAATTCCCAACATTTTTAACAACAGAAATTTTCTATGCCCTACGACCTTAATTCACATCAATATTTTTAGGATTACGGTACTGAAATACAACTTATTTACTCTTAAACACCAGTCTTTAGTATTTTTACAAAATTCTTGGGTTACGTTCTCCTAGAAACTTTTTGTAGTAAAAAAGACAAAAAGAACTACTCTGTAAGAAATTATCCAAAATTTCCTATACGTCAGTATGATCATATTATTATACACGACAATTTTATACACAATTTTTTATATAAAATAATATCAAACATCCGTAAACAAAGATAATGTCACATTTATCCAATTTTTTTCAAAAATAGCCATTAGAATACAAAACTATTTTCGTGAAAAAACAAATAATAAAAATACCGTGAGATTTCTATGTTGCCGTTAACAAAGTGGTGTCATAATTCGTAATGTCTTAGTCTCGTGTACATGTTTTTTTCATCTTGTGTAAAAGGATGTAAAATAAAATGGATAACCTGTCGCCGTGTAAAACTAAAAACGCTTGAGGGTCGTAAAAGTTTATCGTACCCGTGACAGCTTTCCCTCAGACACATCTCAAACACTTCATGAACCATGTTAGCATATTGTTATGTGATCCGAGTCGTAAAAACGAGAAAGTATTCCGTTTTCCAAACGTTTTCTTATTGAAAATCGTGTTTGTACTTTTAACAACACTGTCTTTAAGTTTCGATGAGAAATGTTATTCATAGATAAAAAAATATTTTATTCGGTTCAAATATGTATTTATTTGTATCGAATCTGTATCTGGTTTGTGACACAAACAAGTTTTGAAAATACCTTAATTTTAATTATTTTGTTCTTCATAGTTTTAAATCAAATAAATTAGTCGTTTTGTTTTATTTAAAAAAAAATAAAAATAGATTTTATAAATCTAAGCAAATTTTACTTAAGTAAATTAACTCCTGCAAAATAATGTGTTACAAAAATAAAAGCTAATTGTCTTATATTATGCGAAACGGAGTATTTTTATGTTTTAAATAATTTATCATTATTTACATAATCATTAAAATAAAATTATTAAACCGTAGACTCGATTTCTGATATGACTAATTTTCTTTAATTTTCATACAAATTTTTAATCTCAAGACTTATTGATGATATGGCAATAGCATTCTTGTTATTGCGGTAAGCAGCCATCATTGGTGGTGATTTAAATTGGCGCCTGTAAACAATGTCAATATTATTATATATATGATGAATTCATCGATAACGAGTTGTGTCAGATAATATTTTTCCAACATTAAAAAGACATCACAGGTTCATTAGCAGAGTACGCACTAAGGAGAGCACATTAATGATGTTGAATCCACTTACTGTTAATAAAAAAAGTTTACCCACTAAAGAGCAGCCTGTTTGGCGTAGTAAACTTTTAGTGTGGAAAAAACAAGTACAAAAGCAATGGATGGTGGCCAAAAGTAAGTCGCGTCAGACATTTATTCAGTTGTCCTACACAAATTCTCTGCCCTTCACGCGCTCCTCATTATAAACTGTTTTTGTCGCCCAAACATTACAAGCATTTGTTTGTTTTCGCTGGCACGCTTTGGTGCAGTAAAAAAGTGTGGTGTGTGAACGACGCGAATACGCAGTTCGGTTTCAAGTGAAGGTCCGTAAACGTTGTACGTGTACCGATCGCCTAACGCCTACAGCGTTTCCGCGTGGGCGATATATGCGTGTGGGCAACGATGCGTTTGTTATTATTATTATTATTATTTTTTTCATATCTCGACGGGAATTATTATTCGCCGGAGTCAAAAGCGCCCGCCGTTGTCAGACCTTCGTGCCGGCAACAAAATCAATACTAAAAATTATTTTTGCCGATACATATTGCCGCAGAACAAGAATACGATTCCGTTCGTTTTCGAGTATTGCATCGCAGTTGACACGCTGTCGACATGTGTGTCGCGTTTACAATGCAAATACACTAATAGATATTCGCACATAATTACATAGGTAGTCTCTCGTTCACTTCTGAAACTGATGATCGATCATTTATGTTGAACGGTCTCGTCGAAAACATTATTTTAGGGGCCCCGCAAAGTTTACACCGCACAATGAGTTCTTATTAGTATCACTTCAAAACTTGACGAGTGTTCAACTTGGTACATTATAAACACTTTCTCCGTCAACAATAATACATAACTATGTTGCACACGGAAATGTACGCGCGATTTGTTTTTTGTTATTAAAGTTGGAAACTATCAGAGCAATACGTCGTGTTCAATATGACCGTTTTCCTTAAAAAAAAAAAACGCTAATTGATTTTTAAACGATTATTTTTCGAGTAACATTTATCTTTTTTTAATTTATTAACCAAGTAAAGTAACTTTTTTTTCCCGATTCACTACTTTTGAAGTCTTATAGTGGCTGTTTTTAACCTCAGAAATTACTAATTAAGTCGTCTAAAAAAAATATGTGAGTAAACAAGCAGTGATTTACTCGTTACAAACCAATAAACGTGGGTTGGGTTACACATATTTTAGATTGTCGATCGAACGAGACAAATAATGAGAAAAGTGGTTGGTGCCGGTTAATATGTTAAACAAACACTTGAGTTAAAGAGAAAAAAACACTTCTGGTCTTTTTTTATAATCATTATGGAACGTAAGAGATTATATCGCAGCCAAAATTATAACCCGAAGATTAAACTGAGACACGGTATGTGTTCAATGGATATTGTAATTATTGTCATTTTCCACGTTACTATACTAACGATGCCAACTCGCAGGGAAATTGAAGAAAATAACAGAATTAATTCAGTTATACAAAGGTCTCATACCAATAGGTTTACATAACACTTACTCACAATCTTAAATTAACATATTTTTACGACAAGGCACCAGATTGGAAAATAGCGGATGTTTTCAGGGGAACATGGCAACGGTTAAGTAGTTTTCCGCAAGTCCGAGAAAAATCATCGTTAAACGCACGTGGCCAGTGTAATAAAATACACTCTGCCAATAACATTTTCCCGAACGATCCGCGTACGGTTTTGAAATTCCAACAACAAAGACAGACGAGATATTTTTCCGCGACGCGTACGCCCGTAAAATTATTCTTTGTGGACTATACGGTACTGGCCGGGAAGCGAGGAGAGTACGGGGAAGGGGTAGTGGTGGAGGAAAGGGTACGGGCCGTTCTAAATATTGTATTGGCTTTCATTGTGTTTTTACGGTACGCGCGTGTCCGAAATACACAATGTCAGTCCGAATCACATCTGTACGTTTGGATGTTTTTTACAGGATCAGTCGGTCGTACTACAATAGCGTTTCGCTTGTTTGTCGGAATGTCATGACGTCAAATTTGCCCAAGACGACACGGACATAAGAGAATCGCCTAATGAACGGAAAGTAAATCCAAATTTAATCCGATTTTTGAAACGGAAAAATTGTCACCGGTACGATCATTGAAGTTATTTGCCGACGATTTTCACAGAAATACTATTCTCTAATTTGTCCGCAACGCGTTTATGAACACAATAAGTTTGACGAGTTTTTTTGTTTTTAATGACAACAAAATAATTGCACTTGGATGCAGAAAACGATTTGCCGCGTTGTAGAATACTTTAGCGTAGACTTGTTTATTACAAAAGTTTAATGGTAATTTTTTTTTCTGAACGGCAATAGTTCACTAGATAAAAGTCATTGTAATCGTGTCACTATTTATTCACCTAATCGGACTGGTGGCAGTCATTTTTTTTTATTTTGCTCTTTAGTCCCCGATA